GTTAAAACGACAAGTGGTTACAACTTATTAATTTAGAATATCAATATAGTCAGGATATATGAAATTCTATAGTACAGATCTTTGTAACTCTGTAAGTTTTACAGTAAAATATTTTGTGTCCATTTTACCATAAAAATAGTAACTTTACAAAAAACTGTATAGACTAATTACTCAACAACTGAACGTAATGTAGCGATTACAGACCATGTCAACAAAAGTTTCACATGCATTTGTTGCCAACATTTCTTTGATCTTTACCGCCTCAAGAATGAATTTGTAAGTAATATTGTCATTAATGTTACCTACATTTTTAAGTTGCATTTAATATTTGCAACATTGTGTGCAACAATGTATCCGACAAAATGTTATCAAAAAATGTATCCCACATTTTCTTGGATTCAAAATTGAATTTTGCCGGATACATTGTCGGCGACAAATATTTCAGTCTTGGCGAGGCTTTAGCTATAAATATCCTTAAAAACTAAAAGTTTCTATTTACAACATTTAAGACATCATTTACATGATTTTTTCGGAGGTCTATTTGAGATATTATCCAAGACAATATTTATCATTTTGCTTTTTTTTTCAAAGTTTACAACTTTTTATTAAAATATTATTTTTAACTTTTATTATTTTTTTATATTTTAATTTAATTTAAGAATATTTTAATTTTTATTAAAAATTGTGCATATTTTACATCACATAATTATGCAAGTAAAAAAAGTTTTATCTTACACATAAATATAATAAACAGAAAAAAATACGTACTTTTTCTCTTGTTTGCATTGGAATCCACGTTACATTCATTATCTGATTCAATTTCACTTTCGTGATGTGGTTTTGTTCTATAATTAGAGTGTTGTACTGAAACAATAATTAATATAATAAGTCAATTTAAGAAGTTTTTATATTAATTCTAACAATAGCTAACAAAAATATTCTATAAAAAGATTATATGTTAACTTACGTTTCATTTTCTTTCCTTTTGTTGTAGTTGTATGTCCTTTATCTTTTCTTTTACCAATACATCTTTTAGGTCGCTGCTTTTGTTTTGGAGTATTTGAGTTTAAATCTGTACTATTTTCTTTGTCTGATTCATTATTTTCACTTTTTTCATCACTTTCATCTGTTGTGTCTTCTCCTTGAGCATACTTAAGTAACTTCGATATAGCCAAATCTTTTGTTGCTACAGATTGTCTATAATGTGATTTATGTATTTTTTCATGGTGACCCATAAAGTCAGCTAAATCACTCACTTGATTTTTAGATATATCGAGCGTAATACAGACTGTCGCTATGTGCTTTCGTAATAATGTTCCTCGTAAGGAAGATGGTAGTTTTGCTCCAGAGGCAGAAGAATATTTCCGCATTAACACACATGCTCTTAGATATTTGTGCTTGGTCTTATCTATTGTATTTATCCCAAAGACGAAAGGATTTTGTTCGCGAACACCGGCTTGTTTACGACATTTAATAATCATTTGCATACATTGTAATATGTTTTCATGTAGTAAAACAGGAACTGTTCTTGCTAGTTTTCCACGTATAACTATTCGTACATATTTGCATAATGATTTGTATAGTTCAGGTGCTTCTTCTTTTGAAATTGCAACAGGATTCGCCAAGTTTTCAATTAATAGACGCTCTAATTTACCAGCACGCCTTCTGTTAAATAACATGGTGGATAATAATGTTGTTTCAGCTAAGATGCGCTATGCATTAATAGAAAAACCATCTGTTTTTAATGTGTTGAAAGCTTTTATACGTTCATCTCTGAGATAAGTGTTTAATATTTTGATATCATTTATAGTTCGTAAAACGATACGTTTTTGTCTATTTCTATGTCCTTGAGTTTCATGAACAGCTTTGTTTACACTTATAGGATAATCTTCTTCAAATAATTTTATAAAATTTTCTAACATTGTCTGTCTGTCAACGTCTTGCTTTTTAATGCACATACTCCTTAATATTTGGCCAACTTGTTTTAACAACGTTCCCAAAGTTGATGCGTTAGACGGTGTTTTATATGTATAATTTATATCATCAAACTCTGCAAGACTATGTACTGCTTTGATACAGTTATCATATTTTTTTGGATCATATATTGATGTAAAATCGGTCACGGTATTATCGATTTCTTTTAAAGAGGCAAGAAATCGTCCGAGTAATCTTAGTCGTGCTCTAATCATATCGTGTTGGTGTTGTAAATTATACTTTAAGCACATTTTATTGCCATAAGCAATTAAGAGCTCGTCATATCTAATAAGCAGTGTTATAGTGTCCTCCCTCATGACTGGGAATACTACTTTTCTTAATAATGAGCTTGCAGTATGGTGTATGCGGCAAGCCACAGTACGCCCTAGTACTTTTACATTTCTTTGATGATTTTCTTTCTTATTCGTACATACTTTAAAATGATGTCTAATGTTGTTCTTCGAAAAAAATCCTTTGCATTTTGCACATGGAATAAAATCGATAGCTTTTTTTTTTAACTGCTTCATCGGACGACGACACACAATCATATCTCCTTTATTCAAATTACTATCAGTATTGTACATAAAATTTCCTCTTCGTCTAAGTATTGTAATAATTTCCTTTCGTTCTGAATTACCTGAAATTACAAAGTACATAAGTAAAACTAAATAATTAAAACAAAAATAAAAACAATCTCAAGACTCCCGATAAATTCAAAATCAAACTAGTAATGGGCTAATGGGAGTCAACGCGATTAATGGAGCGTGAATATCAATAAAAACATTTTCTTTAATCCATAATAAGTAAACGTGCGGTTAACTTTTTAGCCTTCCTCAGTACAATTTAATCTACAATTCAATACTTAACGCCTAGCATGAAATATTTATTAAGGCATTAAGTATTGAATTGTAGAAATAAATTGTACTGAGGAAGACTAAAAGTTAGCCAAAACGTTTACTTATTATGGATTAAAGAAAATATGTTTTTACTAATATCCACGCTCTGTTAACCGTATTGACTCCCATTAGCCCATTATTTGTTTAATTTTAAATGATTAAAACTTCTAAACTATCTTCTACATATACTGCACCTTTAGGTAATAAATGAAATTTTTTGACATCTTCTTCATTTTTATGTACAAACTCCAAATGTCTTGCGAATTGTTTCTGTAACTTTTTACAGTATGGACACATGCTTTGTTTTAAGTTTTTAGGAATTTCAGAAGTGTCTACATGCATATTACTATCGTCGCAAATTACGGCTCTAGACGAGTTGACTGAAGTATTCAAATTTAATAATGTACTGTCCGGAGTTTTATTTAAATTTGTCGTATTATTAGTATTCTCTCTGTCTTCATCTTCATCTTCAGAAAGAGAGCAATCTGATAGATGGAAACTGTTATCCTTGTTATGTTCAGATTCAATAGAGTTATTAGATTCTTTCTCAGTATTATTAGTATTAGATTCAATAACGTTATTAGACTTTTTCTCAGTATTATTAGTATTAGATTCAATAGAGTTATTAGATTTTTTCTCAGCATTATTAGTATTAGATTCAATAGAGTCATTAAACTCTTTCTCAGTATTATTAGTATTAGATACATATTGTAATTGCTTATCATTAAATGTTGATTGTGCAAGTGGAATAAAAAATGTAGAATTCAAAGTATTGTCACAGATGTAAGTTTTGTTATTAAATTGAATATTTTTGCATGAAATATCTTCTGTCTCGTTTATAGGTATTGGAAATGCATTGTCATTATTTTTAGCTGATACAGTAGAAATATTGTTTCTACTCTTATTAATGGCAACTGTATTTTTTGACATACTTAAATTATCAAATTTGGCATAAAATTTATCTTGTGCATTCTTGTTTAACGGTCTAACAATAGAATTTTTATCGACAGATG